TCATTCATTCATTTATTCCTTTATTCATTTATTTATTTATTTGTTTGTTTATTTTATTTATTTATTTATTTTTATTTATTTATTTATTTATTTATTTATGTATCTATTTATATTTGTTGCTGGTTTTGTGCCAGGGTACAACAAAACGAGATTTTGTCAGACGAAGACGCCCGAGTGCCATGGTAAAAACAAAGAAATGGATCGCCACTACTCGGTCGCTCGTTCACGTTGATGTCCATTATTACGGACTGGGTAAACAGAGCGACTGCTCATTTCACGTATTATTATGATTTAGTGAATGAGTCGTGGACGAGCTAAAAGGTTATGACCAAAGAGGTTTTATAATACTAAGAGCTCGCAGCAGTGACGTCATGCGTGTCAGACATGGGGCCTTTTTACTTACCCTCATCAGTACGGCCGGCGTGCCTCATTTAAATATATATAACCTCTTTGGTTATGACCTAGGCTTTTTAGATCTAAGAAAACCTAGGTTATGACGGATCATACACCTCCCTCACCAGCAGCTGAACATTTGTTACCGACAGGCCATGTTGGGTAAATAATGGATGGGATCCAACCAGCGCAACATGATCGGTTCATTCACTGGACTGGATGGACTAGGCACGATCGGTTCGGTTCAGTTCGGGTCGGTTTGGTAGGCGGGGCTAGCCAGATTGGGGGCACAAACCGATTGCCCGACTCGCAGCCTAAAAAACAAACGCGTTTAATTCCAGACCGTGAATCTGGCGACCGGTTGGGCACCTCGTAAATGAGAATGGATTATGACAGCTCGTCCACAGAATCAAGGGCCGATATATGATTTATGACCAAACTTCGGGTGATGAGAGATTTGTGTGGCCATCTTAGACAGGTTTTTAAGTTGTTGGTTGATAAATTTATTTTTTTTATTAAAGAGACAGAGGCTGCCTGCCGCGTTGGACAGGTTATCGTTTTACGCGGTGCTATTCTATTAATAAAATATGCAAGAGGGAAAATGGAAAGTTGCCGTTTGTACAGGTGGCCTAACTATACAGGAGGTCATCATAGCAGGTTCAACTGTATTAAATTAACCTATTTCAAAGAGGTTATTAAGAGTACTATATAGGCCTACTCCTCGGCCATTGCTGCTTCGAGCTTGGAGCTGAGGTTATCTTGAGTAAAGAAGAAAGAAAAGATAGCAATGACGACACTTTAAAGATGTTTCAACATCACATAGACATGGAGGTTTAATGTTTCTGATTATGGAGTTTCTGTGCCTAAAGAACAAAAGCAAAAAATGATATAACTAATATGAACTGTTTTGGGCACTATACTCAAAGACAACAACACATAATACGTGTAGAAGACTTCTTCAGGACCCAGATCTGAAACAGACAACGATCATGGGTCGCCATTAATTTCTCTGCTGGGCTGAGATGTTTTTTGCTCGTAACCCATCTGTCTGAGTTCACTAAGAAGGCCCTAGATTTTTAATTAAGGGCCTAGGCCCTGATTATGATTTGGCCTGCAATCCTCCCCCCCACCCCCCTGAAAATAAGGGACATAATTTGGAGAGACTTATCTCATATTGTTTTCTATATGAATGCATTCCCTTGAGGTGCGCGCGCACATGACAACAAACATGGAAGTCATCGTAAAATTTGTGGAAACCTTGCACACTCCTTTTTATATATTTATCGTGAAAAATAGCCGCCATTGAGTCTTTCACGTCTAGACTGCTCGTAAGAATATAAGCATGTCTTACATTGTTTGTGTTTTTATTTTAGATGTGAAATAATGTTCTCAGTTTCGAATCTTCACCTTGTTTAAACCTTATTCCTCTAACAGTCATAGTCAGTGTAGTGTAGTTGAGTCAGTCTCTCCCACGTCCTGTGTGTCTGCCGTTTTGTGTGTGTGTTTGTGTGTGTAGATCTGTGTGTATGGTGGTGGTGGTGCGTGTGTGTGTATGTGACAGGTAGGTTTCTTTGTCAATCTAATGGTTCTTTGTCTTAGTTCTTGTGTTGTGTGTTTTACAAAGTCTTGTCAATTCAATATTAGATGGAAGTGGTGAGAATTAACCCATGTCTCGCTATTCTCACCCCCTCGTTTTACCGGAAATTACCCTAGAGGGATCAGGGCTGAGGTTTACGGGCATGACCCGGGGGGTGGGGGGGGGGGGGGGTTGTCAGGGCTGATGCTCCACAGCGTCATGTTCGTCACTGTTCGTGTCCGAATAGTCAGTCAGGGTTGTCAGTTTGGAGCCAAATCCCAGAAATTTGGCTCTTTTGGCTTTTGGATCATCATGTCTGGTCTGGAGAATTTCATTTGGCTCTCTGGCTCGTTTTTGCTCCAAACTCCTTTTGTTCAATAGGAAAGGGGCAAGAAAAAAAGAAAGAATGAGTAAAGAAACGAACTTGGATTATTTGACTCTTTCCGGACGTATCGCCGATCGGCGCAAGTCCACACCCCTTGCAGACGTATCGCCATTATATCAGCCGTGTAGGGTACCTCAGTTTTGTTTCATTTTAATACGATCCGTCATTTATAATTACTTTTTATTGCTATTGAAAAACTCGGAAAGGATTGAGGAAACGAAAACATATTATCTAGTTTCACTAAGTTGTTAAAACGTGGGTTTTGGGAAAAACGAGTGAATTAGATCTTGCGGTCTTGCATCAACAAAACGATGTAACCGAACTCAGTATACATTGTAACTAAAACAAGAATTGGAATATTTCTTTGAAATAAAAAGCTGGGCATTCAGAAATTTATATATTTATGCTCTGGGCCTGTAGTCCGTGCCGGCATAAAGCACGTTTCGGAGGCTCTCACCGAATTTTTGCTAAATTACACCCCTTTAAGCACTGTAACTTCAGCTTCAGGTACGCTTCATTTACAAGACAGTCAATACTTTCATGATGACCCATCGAAGTTCAAACACAGTCTACATCGTAGCAGTGAGTGTAAGAGAAACACAAAGAACGCAAGTGATGGAGACACACGCGCGCAGAGAGGAAAGCAGAGAGATGTACAAAGCAGCACGTGTGGACATAGGATCTAACATAGGGCAAAGCTACACACAGACGACAAAAATACAAAGAGAGTCGGGGAGACGAGAAAGGGAGGCTGGCTACGATTTCACCTTTGCCCCTCGGCTATCCGTTAATCCTGATAATGTATCATGTGCGAGGTGGTTGACTGTGGTACAAAGGGAGTGGTACGCACAGGCAGTGTGTAGGCCTAGTGTGCCGTATCGTGACTGGTCGTCTAAATTAAGTTTTGCATTCCCATTCAACCACAAAACGAAAGTAACAAAAACTACCATGGCGGGTAAAAATGACAGTGTACACTTTTGCGCGACCACTTCTTATGAACAAAGGGTAATAACTCAGGAAATTTTCAACATAAAAATCTGTGGATTATGAGCAATGACTACTTCGCACTCAAGCACGCTTCAGCATTAAGCACGCTTATATGCTTTCTCCGGATGATCGTGCTTAAAGTCGGCATGGACTGTATATGATGAGATAGCTGTGCTGATTTGCTTTCACATGTGTAGTGAATGTAATTTTTTCTGTCAAAATTTATTTTTTTCTCATCACCATCGCCATTTCTAACCCTTCTAATGCATAATTATGTTCAAAATTAATCCTTGTTTCATATTGGGATATATTCCTCATTCAATTCCCTTCAATTTGATATATCATCTGTTACGTTTTGAGTGATGGTATGCTTCTATGAAGTTATTTTGTACACCACCTGCATAGCCAAATCGAGCCTCAAGTTAATTACGTCTAGACCCCAAAAACACTACGTCAGGAAAGAGTTATTAAACTAGATAACACGATTTAACGCCCTCGCCCATTTGGTCTTAACCCTCGTCCTGCTGGGGCCGGGTTTATGTCACCCGATAAGCCTATTTCGGCACCTCGCCTGCGTTCTGGTCCCGCGTCAGTCTGGCCCCTGGCTCAGCACACGCGTGCCAAGCATCATCTCCCGTTCAATTCGGGTCCCGTGTCGGATACGCAGCTCAAGTGTGTGTGCGTCAGTCTGCTCGAGTTTGTGTGCGTTTGTGGCCTTCTTCTTGAACCGCCTGCGTTGGTTCGTAACCAAGGCATACGTTTCATTCAAAACACGCCAAGTTGGTAGCTCTAGATGTTCGTCCAATGAAATTATTGAACAAAATGACCCACTTAAACATGAGGAGCTCAAAAGGATAGTCAGGAAACAAGACTTCCATTTTTCTATACAAAATCTTTCAAGTGAGCTTGATTTTGTATGAAATGATACCACGTGATAAAAAATAAGCTTGTTTGATAGTTTTGAATACTATTGTGCAGGTGAAAAGAGCAATTTGAGTGCAAAACATTAAGAAATTGCCCTATATTATCCCCATTCGAACCCCAGGTCATTCATAACAACAAGAGCTTCTAAAATGGTTATTCAGATGGGCATAACTACTCGTAATGTCTTATCAGCTTGTAAGAGGGGGTTTAAATTCATGTGTTCGTAACACTTTATAAATAGAAAGCTATAAAAGATAGAGCGTTATTTTTGTCATCGATTAACGCACTCCCATCATGGCAAAAACACACTTTTACAGGCAGTCTACCCAGAACGTCCGACGTAATCGGTTGCTGATAAGATTCGCATCTCAACACAGACGCAGGACAGGAGTTAATAATTTACAACCTTTCTACCGTCGTGCAAGAGCATTTTATTGTCTCGTACTCGTGTCTCGTTACGTTTGTACACTCTCTGTTCCTTGAACCATAATTTATTGTGTGCAGGCAGAGACTGAAAGGCTACCATCGTTAAGTTTGTAAACAACTAATAGTCCGGCCGGCAACCGGTCCCACATCCCGCTCAGTAGCGTCGGTAGTGAGCCTTTTTTTTTTTTTTTTTACTGGAGAGGCGAAAAATGTTTTTACATTATTATTATTCGTTCCCAACCACATGCAGTAAGCCGCCAAGGGCCTCTAGGTGATTTTATCAGCCTACAAGAGGTCACGGGAGAGTCCTCACCTCATGCCCACACCAGGGAGGGAGCTATTGTCACCATGGGGGGAGGGGGGGGGGGTGAGAATAGCGAGACATGGGTTATTCTCATCAGGGGTGAGAATAAAAGTGGCTGTACTAGATCTAGATTTTAGATAGAGACTGTGTGATGATGTAGATCTAGATTCTAGATATTAGAGGAAAGAGGTGATTGCACCACAGCAATAAAAAACAAAAAGTTTCCCCTAACCTTCCTTTAGCCAGTAGACCTAGTACTACTAGGCCTATATACTATATTGTTAGTCCTAATTCACGGGAGTGGGAGTTCTGGCACCTCATCTGAGGCACGAGGAGCACCCGTCCCTGAGCCTTCCCCCCTCCCCCTCCCCACAAACACCATGAGGCCTATCTACTGAGTCCTTATTGAGACTATTGCATGCCCTTATCTAATCAGTAATCAGTGTCGAGGGTCTGTTGTCTCAGGGCCTGAGAAGAAGTCTGCATGCCTGAAGCACCCTTCTTTTACGTTAACAATGCTTAACCTACTTTTTGTACCTATATATAGACCTTCTTTTCTCTCCGGCTGTCCATCGATATTAATAATGTAGCAATACTGATCACCCACTGCGCTTTGGGCCGGAAATCGGGCTGCTCTGAGTCACATAGTTTTTTGGGGGCTGGTCGGGGTCAGAGGTAGCCTTCTTCTAAATATTTACTGTTTAGAAGCCCCACGACAAAAATAAATCTGATACTTGGCAACCAATCTGTACGGAAGAAGGCTAGTTACTATTTATTTTAAGTTTGTGAGTGTTCAAAAAGGACAGATTTCTAGAACCGGAGAAATCGCCATGTTTGTGTGACTTTATTCTGCTTTTCAAAAACTAAGAGGAGCTGTCCTGCATCATCATCAACCAGGCAGGCACCCCACATGTCTTCTTTATTGCCGTAAACTTTCAGATTTCTGGTTGTAGTAGGCCTACATTTCATGTATCACAACTGAAAAATATCACCCATCCAATGATAAAATAGTAGAAGCGGAAACTGAGTTGGAAACGGAACAAGCTTGCCTGCCAGCATGCGAGGCGTGTGATCGTTAGGGGTCATGTGATTGGCTGCCTAAAATTAAGAGTCCATTGCGAATTCTCCCTCTATAATACCACTTTGTTAAGTTGTAGCACTTTTTCTTTTAAGATCAAAGGTATAATTTCTGTAACAGGTGGAGTAAATTCAACTAATTTCTGCCCAGCATATTCAAATTTAAGCTTGTTTTAAATCAGTTTGAACAAAAATTTAATTGTTCATTGTCATTGCTAAACAATGGCTAAAGCAGTGTGCATGATATGGTTTGCCTGTGCAGTAGGAAGTATATTTCCCTTGTACTACTTTATATACTACAAAGGAGAGACGTAGTCAACACGTTTGGAATGAAGGAAGGCGGGTGTGACTAGCTATTTACAGGCATGATAGGGATATTCTTTGTGGGAGGGGAATTTTGAATTTTGCCCGTATTTTACCTAATACTTTTTTTTTTTTTAAAGCAGTGGCTATTCTATTATTATTTGATTAAGGAGGTACAATATTAGTCCTGTACTGTAAAGAATATATCAGGATCCTGTTTGCCATTATAAAAAAAATGCAGTATGTGTCGGTCAATCGATCAGGTACGACTGGTAGGTTCTACTTCTTTTCTTTCCCCTTGTTGTTTCTGTCTGCTTGCTTAAATACTTTTTCCTGCGCTAAATGAATGTTATTAATGACTGAAGCTCAAACAACAAACTTTTTCTGCAAGTCTGTGATTTAGGGGAAAGTAAGGCTTACTTTTTTCTGAGAAATGCACCCTTGATGTTTTTTAAGACAGTGACACCCTCCCTGGCCATTTAGAGTAAGCTAGTTCAGATTTTGCTTGGATGAGAGCCCAAATTGTGGAAGTGTTAAGGAAAACAAGACAGATCCTAGTCAGAGATGAGGTAGGAAGAAGGCGATGGCGATGGATTGGACATACTCTCAGGAAATCAGGCAGCTGCATAACAAAGAAAGTTTTGGATTGGAACCCACAGGACAAGAGATCAAGAGGAAGACCTCGTGGAACCTGGAGAAGAATCACAGAAATCGATGTACAGAAAAGTGGGAAGACGTGGAATAACATCAAGAGACTAGCCCAGGATAGAGAAAAGTGGAGGGTGTTTGTCCGTGGCCTATACCCTGGTGCAGGGTGAGAAAGGCAATGATGAGCTCAGATTTTGCTTGGATGAGAGCCCAAGTTGTCCCAAAGGAGCTGTTCTTTTAAGACAGATGCAACTGTCTTTCCTGCTGCGAAACACAAAAAAAAACCCACAGATTTATAGACTGTTTAGTCCATTCATTATGGTGTGTAATTTAACAATTGTTTTAAAAACTCTCTACACTGAAGTTTACTTAAATCAAACACGGTTAATCTGAAAACAGGGGAAAACTGAAAGAAAATTTAATCCTCAACTTTAAAATAAAATGTTTTTGGAGCAATCTCTGTAAACCAAAAACCAGGCTGAATCGAAGAAAATCCAGCTGGGACCCCACTGTATGTGTAATACAGGGAGTTTGCGGGTGGTTGGAGGGTGTCACTTGTAGGTTCTACATCTTTTCTTTCCCTCTGTTGTGTCTATAGATATCTGGGCAGTTGGAGGGCGCCACTTGGGGTGTTACATTTTTTCTCTTCCTCTGTTGTGTCCGTCAATCTTAACTTTTTCCCCTGCTCTCAGTGAGGGTTATTATTGTGCCAATGTACTTCTCTTTGAAATTCAAATATTACCTACGCCAACTTAGAACACAACATCTACCCCTCAACCAACATCTCAACCGAATAATTGGGGTAAAGCAGTCTGCTGCCTGCCCACTACTATGTGACTACCCCTCAGAGACAGTGGAACATCATCTGTTCTTCTGTAGAAAACTAACTGATTTAAGGGGATGTTTTCTTCCCAAGCTACCCCACACATCTAATTGCCTCTACTCCTCAAGACAACAATTAGAACAGACATGCAGCTATTACCGAATGGCATCATGCAGAAGAGTTAACGCTCAGATGCTGTTGGATCGCTAACAACAACAACAACAACCTGCGCCAATACCTTATATTGATTTTTTTAAACCTCTGCTTTTGTCCCCCCGACAGGAATATGTGAAAGGGGCTTTTAGGCGGGTGGCCGTGTTACCAGGCCGTCACTTGAGAAGGACGTCGAGAATGGAGGAAGAAGACGCGAACACCCTGACCCTGCCCCCAGACCGGCCGGGCTGGCCAGCGGTCAGGGGGTTCTTGGTGGAGTTGAAAGGTCGCCTCATGGGTAGAGATATTGATGAACAGGTGCGTATTATTTGGCTTATTGTTTTATGATTTGTTATATGTATTACTGTAGTATAAATTACAGACTACGTGTGTTGTAACACCTCTAATCTTCGGCACTTATATGACCTGATTGTGTTGCGAGTGCCGTAAAACTCTTACTAATACTAAAACTTACTCAAACCTCTCTCCTAGTGGGTGATTGGAGGGCCGGCACCAACAGATGGAACCTACTTCATTTCTTTCCCTCTGTTGTTTCTGTCTGTCTGTCTGTCTTGTTTTTACCCTTCGCGAATTGGCTTGCCATGTTGATGTGATTCTCCTCTG